AAAACCCACGCTCCTCCCTACGTAACCCGCATTATTAATGAATAACACGCGATGCGGAGTGTAGGCGAACGCGTCTGAGGCCCGGTTTGTGGTTGCCTTTGTCCTGTAGATCGGCGGGGTCGGTGAAGGTCTCTAACTGAGGTCGCACTTGCGTTTCAGGTTTGCTCCTGTGCTTCGTTCTCCGGTACGATGCTTACAAGAAAGCACAGCTCTTGAGCTCAGCTGAAGCTGGCGTTCCCCTGCCGCCTCCCTTGCCTCTGTCTTTGTATCGGATCTCCTATTTCCACTGCTCACTCATTGGCTACTTTCTCGGCCTGCTTACGGCTACCGTGAGCTCCGAAGTATTCAAAGCTGCTCAGCCTGCATTACTGTATCTTGTTCCATTCACTTTGCTGCCTTTGCTCGTTATGGCTTACCTAAAAGGAGATTTACGTCGGATGTGGAGTGAACCATTCCACACAGTTCCCATGTCGAAGCACCTCGACGTCTAGCTCCAATCTATCCTCCATCGTCCCCCGACCACGGTGGCAACCTCATTGTACATTATCTACAAACGATGCATACATTGTACATAAACTATACATAGATGAATATACACGTACATACTTATATGCATATATATGTGTTCGGATGAGCGTGAGTGAGGACATTTCTTCCTCCCTTCAGTCGATCAGACGCTCACATTCTCCATCTCAACAAAGTGGGTCTGTTCGTAGCGAGCGTGCCGCTGGGGGCCCGGCAGGTCGACCGACACCAATGATAGGCGATGATTCGAACAGACAAGCAGATAGATGGACGAGCGAAGCGACCAATCACGCGACAGCAGAACACGTCCATCTTCGAGGTCAATGCCTCCACCTCCTCGCTTTTAAGGTTGTCGACTGACTCGCGAGCAGAAGCCTCGTCCTCCTCTCTCCTTCTGACCCTCCCAGGCATGGGGAATGACTTGGCGACCTGGTGGAGAATTCCCCTCAATCAAGCACAGTATCTTCACGGTTGTACAGGGACCATCGGCCATGGCCGAACACAGGGAATAGACGACGAACGCTGCTTTCTACGTGAAGCTTCCCTGGAGTTCTCACTGGCTTTAGACTTGAGGAAATTGAAAGGGAAACCTCAGAACCTTTCCATTGCGCCGTGTGGAGAGTCCAGATAGGCCGAGTCGGTCAGAGCGCTTCTTCGAATCTTCCGAGAGGCTCGCTGAATCGAATATTCCGAGGAGAGACGGATATCATCTCACTCAGATAGCAGTCGGAGAGATATCTCCGCATCGAGGCAGTCCATGAGAGCCCTGAATATCGGAACTGGAGCGATCTCTCCCTGCTGGATATTTACAGAAGCGGCGAAACTAGTCCATCGTCAGGGAGTTGGGAGTCATCATCGTGATTGCCACGTGACTTTATGAAACCGACCCAAAGGCTCTTTCGGGCTCCCCCGGACTGATCTTTGGTTGGCGAAATGTGTCTCAGGCTCTCCGCCTCGTCGGACGCTGCCGCCTGCAGGAGGGGGCGCTCGTCGGCAGCGGCGAGAGCATGCCATTCGGTCCTTCCGGTGATGCCGTTATGGACGCCCATCTCATTGCCGTAGCTCACTGTTCGAAAAAGTCGAATTGGTTTCGGCTAGGAAACAGATGGATATCAACACTCATCAGCGAATTCAGGGATCGAGTATCCTGGGCCAACTGGCGCCGTGCTCTATCGAAACTTCCCTGCAGCTCCTGCCGGGTATCCTTCCAGAGGGATGGAGGTCTTATCTAGAGGAGGGGTCGAGGCATCACGGAGGGGTGTCTTAACTTGCGGTCGATCAGACGACTTGCAGTGAAGCAAATGTACTGACGAGCCCGATGCAGGAATCGTGATGATCTCGGTGAAGGAGAATCCAGGTGCAAATGGAACGGGGGCTCATGACCTTTGGGGACGAGGTTCAAGACGCACAAACCAGTCTCTGGGTACAAGGGGGACTCTTGAATTAGGTACACATATACATGCATGCACTAGGCATACAGAACAAAGATGGATATATATGCGTGTATGTTTGTATGTATGTAGGTGCTTGACATTGAAATGAACGACGACGACCACGTCGAGGATATGAGGAGATCATCATCATCGTCATCGAGAACTTGACTCCGACAGCGTCTCTGCGCGGGAACGATCCTGCTCGATGAGGACATCAATCCAGCAATGATGGAAGTTGAACGTTACGCATAAGAGCTCTAGTCTCTTGGAGTTCGTGACTTTGTAAGTGACTCACGCAGCTTCTCCTGGCCCCCTTTGATTTCTCCTCTCCCAGATGGGCTCCTCAGGCCGTCACATTCACTTAGGAGAACTGGGTGCTCATTGCCGGATCTTGATTCCTGATTCGAACATGGGCCGATTTGACTACCGCTTTCGGCCTCAAATGATTGGATCCTCGGAACTCCTCGACAAAGTGTATCTTGAAGCGGAAGTCGTATCACTGTTCATCCGATTCCGCGATCTCCACTCACCGGAATCTTGGTGTACCTCAATGCTTCGGGAGTAATTGCAAAGATGTGCGAGACCTGGTATTATCATCGATAACCTGCTGAAGTCTGCTGAAGAGCCTCAAATGTATATATGGGGATGATGAAGATGACGCAAGAGATCCAGCAATCGATCATTGAACATACGGCGGAAGACGTGAGTCGCCCTGAGAAGACTGGACGATGATCTTAGCTTTCGAATTCCTGCCGGTCGACCCGTCATCAATAGACAGAGAGCCGATTTCCTATCCTCTTCAAGAGAACTAATTCGTTGATCAGAGTCGCAGCTCAAAGATGCGCACCGATTCCGAGACGAATTGAATCACATATTCCCTTGCATGAACAAATGAGAATATCAGACTGAGCTCGGATTTATGATAAGACAGAATGTGGACAGCACCGATATGCATTTTAGCCCCGCCGGGAAGTTTCTATTGACATTGATATTATCGAACAGTGGTATATAATAAAGAAGAACACTTGAACATTTGGCGCAGATTCAGCTTCCCAGGTAATTCTCCTCTTTCTGCTACGCTGATTGGCTGAAGGTTCTAATGTGTGACATGAAGTTGTGGTGGCTCTTCTGGTCGTTCGACAAGTCAAAGGCATATTATAGATATCGGAGCGACTACTCATCGTTGTGCGTTCGTTGATACGTTCCGAGCCATTCGAAGTCGGACAGTCGCGCTTCGCATTCAGTCATCCTCCGCTCGTCTTGCCGAACTAGTGTGATTCTCAAATCGTGGTTAATGAGTCGAAATATCCTGGTTAGTAGTATCGTCGACTAATTCTAATTTTCGCGAGAAAACGTCGCGAACTCACTCTGTATGCCCGCTTGTCTTGCATGCAGGAATGTTGACGAGCTACGATCGAGGAGTCGACGTCGGATATCGGATGTCGCTCAATCGGATCGGGGGCCATCGCGGCCCTCCGGGGCTTCTCCGAGACTGGCCCGCCTAGCCCGCATTCATTCTTCCTGCAAGCGCTGCCGTCTTTCAGCACGATTCGTGTCGAGCCCGAATGCTTCGGTCGCGATGAAGTGAATACAATATGCGACGCGAGAGATCAAGCCAGCTCCAAGCTGGCATTCCGTCCACATCGGGCTCGACTCCGATCGCAGCATTCCAGGCCGGGAATCATTGCACTCGCTAGCTCCCATATGTAGAATTTGAATCAAGATTCGCTCAGGGAATCGACCCTGAATTCCATGGAACTTCAAGATGAACGACGAGAGTCGAGCCCTAGCTATAATCATTCATTTCCCCACGGTTCTCGATGCACGTCTCCAAATATCAACATCATCAATCATCGACATCATCTCTCTTTTGTTTTCTCGCTCGGTGTCACAGAGAGGAGCCTATGGGATTGACGAAGCTGAAGTAGTACGCGATCGCCTCAAGATTGACATAACCGAAAGATCTCTTCTCATCAATCTACCCGTTCGCCGACAGGATAGGTATATCCGAAAGGTTCCCTCACAGATTTGAACCTGAATCATAGCCCATCAACAAATTACATCCGGCGCAAGGGTCACGGTGCGGGGAGTCAGACGGGCGCGAACGCCGATTGGGCGCCATCCCGATTGGGTGCAAGGCCATTCGAGCCCAGGGCCGCTACAGCGAAATGCTGTAGCGCGTAGAATCATGAGTAGCTCCCCTGTAGAAGAAGCTCCTCTCCAATTGACGCCCATCCCCAGTAGAAACCCCTCTGTGAAGGGGTTTGAAATAGTAGGAGCCCGGGCTTGTATTGGAATGATCACGGTAATCTATAATCTTAATTCTGAGAAGAAGGCGTCGAAGAACATCGGAGGAGGCTGACTAAGCGAGAGGCTTTGACGAGCTAATGTTATCGACCGAAGAAGTCGAGACTGCGGTTCCCAACTGATACCACGCAGCATCTCCAAGCATTGGCATCGGAATTACTAAGTCTCTCCCTTGCCTTCCGGGAGTCGAGACGAGGGACCAAGAGATCCGTTGTAAGGAGGTTTCACTTCATCTCGCATAGCCTCACGCTCGATTGATAATCACAATCTTACGCTCAGCGCATGGACACACCTGCATGAGACCTCGTTACTATGAAACCCGGTACATCGAGAGACCTCTATGAGGATTCACGTATATTCTCTGATATTGAGGCACCCGGGCTCCTACTTTCATGCCCATATTCTTTCTCGGGACTCTTATTCTCAAGTTATCTCATTTTCTATTGATTGAAGTAAAGTATATTCTCTGTTGACGAATGAGTACTCGATCATCTGATGAGTCGTACATCATTTGGATTCGACGGGAGCCGTAGACAGGAGGAGTCGTTCGAATATTTCTTCCTTTCTTCCAACTCCCAAGTGGTGAGTTTCGATATCTCCTTGATCCCCATACCCTATTCGCACTATTAAGATCGCGGAGGTTGTGATCTACGCATTGATTACATACTCGCTACACCTACGCAGCTTTCGCAGCGAATCCAACTCCGCGGAATGATACGAATCAAGTCTCGAGTGGATAACCGACTCAAATTTATTGGTCTACCAATCGGAAAACTCATCTCCTCATTCAAGGTGATACTGAGAGGAAGATCGAGATAGAGACAGAGGAGAAGACTCACACACATTCAGACAAGGAGGCGGACAGTCAGTCACTCAGCCAGACAGACTGAGACCGAATACCCTCAATAAAGACTGTCCTCCTCGGAAGCCTCCGGCTACGCAGAGCCTGTCCGAAGGGGGGATAATTACTCGGGTGAATGATCATATCAACGATATTGTCGAGAAAACGAATAACTGAAAAAATGACGGACAAGTCCTCTGCGATAATCTTTTCCTGCGAAGGCAGTTTTTATTTTGACGAGTGGCAAGTGATTCGGAAGAAAGATTCGACATCTCTCGCGAAGAGGAACTCAATGAGAGGAAGTGACAGGGGAATTTAGCTTGATTCGGAAAAAAAGAAGGAGCTGTCTGTTCGCGGAGCAGCAGACGGCACAGGGTTGGCGGCGGCGGCAACTTCGGTGAGGGAAGACGGGACCCAGCCGGTGATGCGGTCACCAATTTGCTTGTACGCGGCGCGGCGCCGGCGTATCAGCCTTCTTGCTCTCCATCCTCGGAGATTTCTCCGTCGAAAACTCACATCCATCCAACAGGATATTCTCGCATTACGGTGTTAGCTCGTCGGTTGATTAATTAAGAGTGGTTCGATAAAAAATTTACATGAGAACACAGCGCTTTTTCTTCTTGTGCTTTACCTGAAACAGAATCAGAAGAATGTTTCAATACTCTGAAAGTCCCTCACGATCGGTCCTTCGCGAGCCAAGACTGAAGAGAGAGGACTCGCTCAAGATCTGGCTCCGTCGGGTTCGAATACTGCTCTTCCTGGGCCGTTCTTGAGCAGAATCTCATCGCCTGGAGCAGTGTTTCCCCGGAGCCCAGAGGGAAGCAAAAGCCCAACCTCAAAGTCGAGCGAATTTCCCGCGAGGGCGCAGGATCTCGAGTGAGAAGTGATCCCCTTCGGAAGTTTTGTCACGAAGAAATTCCCGCTTCGGCGAATCACTACTCTCGGAAAGAATCATCGAATTCTCGAGGTTCCTACCATAGAATCGAAGCGGAGAACAACCCATACGTTTTGTCAAACAGCTAGTTCTCGAGATCCGAAGAAGGGATATCCATGGTGGGGGAATATGGGGGAATATGGCATAGAGGGCATGACGTATCGCATATTACGACCCAGGCAGAGACTGCATCTCCCGCCGTGTGAATTTGTCACATCGAATACGCAATAATCTCTTGATTGCTCGATGATTCTTTCGAAACCCTCCCGTGATCAGGCTGACTTGACTGAGATCTGACTTGTCTGAACTCACTTGAAGGGCGGCCCGCGTAGCGAGTTCGAAAACCTCCCGCACGCCTTCCTTGGTCCTGGCGGAACACTCTAGATATCCGAAAGCATTGATTTTCTCAGCCATAGATCGACCTTCTTCGCTCTTCACGGGCTCTTGCTTCATCTTGGCCAATTCCTGGAATCAAAACTCATTCAATGTATGTATGTAGAGAAAAGCAACACATCGGGATATGCGAGTAGAACATGGCAACGATTTTCCTTGTAACGGACTCATGCAGAATTCGCTGTAAGCTTTATTTTCCGGAATATAAGCCTCTGGAGTCTTAAGGAAAGGCTGCAATGATTCTTCAAGAGCGGCTCCGGCGATCTCTGGAGCCGGAAAGGATTTTCGTCATGCCCACGGTGGTGCTGGTCCCTCCTGGCTGTCGATGAGTCAGGTGTCCCGTGGGCCTCGCGGTGGAACTTTCTGAATGAGTCACGCAGCACTCACTAGCAGTGCCATCGTCTTCTACGACAGTCGCAGTGATTTCGTCGGTTGGATTCTGATTAGCAGTCGTAGTCCCGACTCCGCATTAGCGCTTTTGGAGGACTCCGCTGCTTAAGAGAATTCATGATCGCAGCGACATACAGAACGCGAGCAGACCGAGCGGCGCCCAAAGGATGAAATTTCCCGCGAAGCAGCGGCTCAGATCATGAGCAGATAAACTTCGCTCAATAGGACACAACTATTCTTCCACGGTCAGCTATGAACCATGAAAGCGGAAATCTCAAAGATACACTGTCCAAAGAAGTCCCAACCCTGAGGTCGTCTATGACGTCACCTTCACGCCGCGGCATCTATTCGTACACGGGTAGAAGAATGTTCCGATCCAACACTCGACCGGAAAATATGAGCAGCTGCATTGCCTTTCGTCTTGACCGCAGCTACCGTAGACCGGGAGATGACTAGTGCTTCCCCCTCGCAAAGCGAGCGTTTCTGCGAGCATGAGCGTCAGCCCTCCGTGAACCCATCCTCCAAAATGGGGGAATTCGATATGGCACGGCACATGATCGATCTCGGAGATTCGTCTGCGGGAATCGGTCAATACGTCTTCGGAGCCGACAAGCATGCCAAGGATGTCTCGCATCCGAGGTACGCGAGCTTCCATGCGTACCCCTGGCAATGAGAGGTCTGTGAAGGCCTCGGTTACGATGACGTTCCCTATATTGAAGTCCACGATGATGGTGCGCGGTAGCGTACAACCCCTATACGGCGCCCGGGGCAGTCAACGAGCGATTTTGAATTTGTGGACGCGATAAACCAAAATACCGCCCCCTGTCCGAAAATTTCTCAAGAGAAATTCCGAGAATTTTCACGGAAATAGCCTTTTTGTGAAAGTAGAACCCGGAAATATCGCCTCTGGAGCACGCTACTGATGGGACGGCCGCCGTGCATGAGCTCGCGGATGGAATGAGTGTCGTCGAGCGTATCCCAAGACCAAGCAGAGATGAGAGGATTGGAATTCACGATGGAAAGACTTTCGCAGTCCGATTACTCATTCCAGGGTCATTAGCCCGGAAGACTGTCTGACAGATTCTCGGGCGGAGGGAAGCTCCGTCTATCGATGAGAATTCTAGGAGAAATCAGGGGATGCTCTCACTGATGAATTATCAGCCACTCAGAGCAGTCAGCTAGGCTCTCAGGGCACAGCTCAGCTGAGGGCAACACTTTGGGGCAGTCCTCCCGACAGACCACAGGGTTTGGCTCGTAAGAGAGGCTTCGTCTGTCTGAGCGGCTGTCTCGTAGCCTATTCGGCTGTTCGCTAGCTCATAGTTTCCCCGACTTCTTAGCTGCTGCCTCCCCCAGCGAACCATGAGCTGGCTAGTGGGCAAACGGCTCTGAAAGGCGAATGGCAGCCGAGCGTACCTGGCAGCGAGCGAACGAAGCATCGTTGCGGAGATGGTCTGAGCCCAACAGTTCCCGGAATAGCTCGAGAACCAGCCTGCCAGCTCGCTGAAGAGCTGCTCGACTGCCGGCTGCCTTATAACGGGTAGGCAGCAGCGGGATACGGTCGCAGGATGGTGCATGGCATCCTGTTGCTATTTCAAGTCTTATGAACAACAAATCCTGGTTGCTGCCTTCTTCCACATTCTCTTCGCGTTGCTTCCTTCTCATCGCGAAATTCACACTCGGCAATGAGAACCGACTCTGAGCAGTCGCGCAAGCGAGCCGAGTCTCGATGTCGACCAGCCGCCAGCCGTAGGTCTACATTCGGAACACAAAAATGCGAAAGTTTAGCTAAGCTCACCCGACAAGGTGGCTATCGTGGGAGAATATCGCTCTCCTTCTGCATTCTGGAATTCGGCCTCTCTGGGAGCTCGAGGACAAGATCTATCGCGGTGCTCAAGCATATCCTGTCCCCCCCCTCCTGTCTCTGAATCCTAGTCTACAGCGGGGAGCTGTTGAATCTGATACTGTGTGTAGGCCAGCCTGTTCACAGACGAGCGGCACGATGGGGGACAACCCCGTTCGGGATCTAAATGGAAAACTCAGACGCTCATCCCTTGCTGCACTTCGTTTTGTTGGCGATGCGCGATTTTTCCCGAGCCCGAGTCCCTTCGCGAGGAATCCAGGAGACCAAGCACACATACGCATACATACTCAAAGGCTTAAAGTAGAGTCGCAAACCTTGATGGTCGTGGGATCATTTCGGAGATCCTTTTTGTTAGCGACCAGTACGATTGGCACGCTTGGACAGAAGTGTTTGACTTCGGGATGCCATTTTTCGAGGATGTTTTCCAACGAGTCCGGCGAATCAATCGAGAAACACATCAGTATAACATCTGTATCCGGGTAGGACAAAGGACGAAGACGGTCATAGTCCTCCTGTCCCGCTGTATCCCACAAGGCGAGCTCGACCTGAAATTGAAATCTTTGATGAGACATCACGTATTTGGTGACTGGACCCAACGCACCGTGGGTCCAGTCACAGGGTTTTGCGTCGAAATTTTCGTATTTTCCTCTCTAGGAGTTCGATCCCCGACCGACTGTTCAGAGCCGCCTGGGCGAGCGGGCATGTGTATGATTGCAGAACTCAGCCAATGAAAAGCGCCCCGAAGATACAGCTATACAAGGTTCGTCGTGGACCGACCTGTACTGTAATTATTGCGGTCGATTGTTAGCTCTGCTCGAGAGCGGAGAATATATCCCCTAGGGATAAGGTATCATCGGCATTTCCCGTCTCAGTGGATCTCAAGAGTTGAAAAAAGCAACGGATCCGGATAACGCAAAAAATATCGATGCCTGCTTGCGGTCGAATTCTCAGCCACAGGGAAGCTTACTAAGCTCCAGCACGAACCTCTATAGAGCTCGAATTGCAAGAGCGTGAGTCAATTTCCGAATAGAACTCTCCACGGCATCCCGTAAAGATGTTCGCACGCAGCTCACGGCCGGCATCAAGAGCCCACCGCAGGTATCGCTTCGCTATGCCGTCCACTGTGACTAAAGCGGACCGATGAGACTCCCATCCTCTGCATCGAGAAGCGATTGCCCCCTTGCAACCAGAGTTCATTGTACACTTAATCCCGCTGAGGACTGTGATTGATGGAAGAACCGAGATAATCGAAAGACGGAGAGTTCTCGGGCCCCTCTGACTAAGCGTATCTCCTTTTACGCCGCTACGCCCATTGGGCGTGGAACGAGAATTAACTACCTCTTCGGTTTCGGACACGGGAATCGGAGTTCGATTCGGGTTGCGGCGTCGAGGTCCGCGAGGAGGTGGTCGACGACGACGCACTCTTCGATCGCGAATCCGACATTCGTACACGCCGAGAACAAATAGAAATACTCAAAAGTAAGCCTAACAGAGGCCTCAACGACGAGAGAGGCAGCGAGTGAACAGCCGATAGTGGAATCGAACAATGAGATCTTTCGACAACAATGGGAAGATATTTTTCCGAGCGAGCCGACCCGATCACCCGAAAGGTGGGCTTTAGCCGTCGTTTGCGAGCATAACAGCCCGTTGAGGAATGGAGACGGCTCCTGACAGTGGTCCGACGCAAGCGACTGAAATAACCTCTAGTTGAGAAGCAGACAAGGGACGAACCTGTTTACCGTCGACTTCTATGTCGGCAACGTAGTTTTCGAAAACTGTGGGCACGTACACCTCAGGGAACTGATCTTTGCTAAACACGATAAGCAAGCATGTCTTCCCGCAAGCTCCATCGCCGACAATCACGAGTTTCTTACGGATGGCTGCCATGTCGCCAGCGAGCCACCACCGGTGTGCTCTTACAGTTTGCGGACGACAACGGCGGCGGCAGCAGTGGTGGCGGCAACAACGACGAGTTCACTCGAATGATCAACGACGACGATCCTTGCTCTATCTGGTTTTCACTCGTCAACTCCTGCTGCAGCTGACGTCGCAGCGTCCTCGAGCGACAGCCGCAACAACGGTGGCAGCAACAATGTCGGCGACGGTGGCGGCAGCGACAGCGGAAGCACTTAACACGTCAGCCGGGGAGTCGCTGCTGCGCGTGAATGAGCCTCACTAGATCGAGTGATGCACCACGTACCCCTCGGCAGTGCTGGGAGCCGGATAGCAGGCAGGGGCAACTGACGAGGAATAGCTCTACGACTCTACAACAAACAACCGACGACGATGGGGCGGTTACTCATAAGCCGACGCCGAACGTTCGGTACCACTCCGCTAAAAGCACCACAAACGCACCACACTTTCCTCCACCGCGCAATTTCTGTATCATCATTGCCAACCCGCGAGCCGCGAGCCCGACTCGAAGCGCTCAGACTTGAGCTTTTGAAAGTGCCCCCGACTGACTTCGAAGCGCAGCTCATCCGCGATCCTTTCAAATAGGCCGGAAGATTGGAGCTTTTGAGCTTGAGAGCCGAGATGTGCTCGACGCATTCATATGCGAGATCCATGGTGGAGCCTATCGGTGAGGATATCTGGAGCTTCGATAAAACCGGACGTTCCGATATCACAGGCACCCTTTAGACTACTTTGGGCAGATGAGACTTTATTGTTTTCCACAGTGACACGAAAAAAATCTGACTCACGGACCACGATAAAACATGCGCTTCAGCCTGTGGAATTAGAAATTACTATTCCAACCCGTGCAACTGGAATCGGAAAGTCTGTCTTCATCGAAGCTCTAATGATGGAGCTAAATCCAATATGAGACTGATGAAAGATATCACAGAGAATTCGTTACCGGAATTGGAAGCGATTGAGCTCCCCGAATGTTCCTAAGAGAGCTCTCTCGAGTCGTCGCGATGCTCTCTTGAGATACTCACTCAAGACGCGTCCAGAATCGTTTCTCAGTCAGTTAAGAGCCGGTACGATAATGGAGCTCTCCCCGAAAGTGCTCGGGGACGGGGGAAGCTGGCTTTCAGGAATGCATGTTTTCCCCGAAAACCCGAAATGCGCCGCTGACATGGTGGTTTACGCCGATGACAGCGGTCTCCGCGGGGAACAGGTCGTCTTCTTCAATCGTCTTTAGTCTTCATGTCATTTGCTCGATCTTCTCCTCGGCGTGTCCCGTCAGCCCGAATATATAATAATTTATTAGAAAAAAGAAACACTCATTCGAATATTCGGGGAAAATCGCCGCTTCGCCACGGTTCCCAACTCATCAGGTTCGCGCAAACCTTGATATCTGACATGTGGTGGTGGGAGAATCGCACGTCGCGAATTTCTCTCCAGTCGAAAAGTAGACCCCACCGAGTTTGAGCAGAGGGGTGGCGGTTTCCCCGACCCCGTGAGTCATCCGTGAGGCTACGGCGCTGAAAAAATTCTTGCAGATCGTCAGCGATGTGTGGTACCTTTCCGATCTAGTCTCGTCACGGAAGGAAGGGGGCAGAAGCTCGAAGATAACAAGGAGCCGAGCCTTCATATTTTTATGAAATCAAACAGGTTCAAGGACATCGTCTTCCCCAAGCGGGAGGGGGATATCCAGGAAAGAAAGTCGACGAGGGATTACGATTCGACGAGAAATATCTCGTCGAATCGTGACTTCCCGACGACGGACCACAGGAAACATGCAGTTTTTTGTTCGGGGTCACAGGGGCGGGGCCGTCCTCGGGATGCGGGTGGGACAGTACGTGGAACATACGTTCCCGAGGCACGGACGACGGAGATCGACAATTGATCGTCCCAGGATGCGGAGCGCGGAGTCAAGTCCGATTGAGGGCAGACTCGAGAGCATATTAATCATGGTAATGATGACGATGCTCCCTGCTGATTGGAAGAAGCAAAACATGCGAGCTCTCGGAATTTTCGCGTTTTCCCCAGATCAACGCGAGCGCAATAGCGATAAATGATAGACAGATCACCTCAGTGCGTCCGATTAAGAAGCCCTCCTCGGATAAAACGGACTCCCGATATGGCGGACCGTTTCGGCCAGTCCCCTTAAGTCTTGAGTCTTTAAACCGCTATAACTGGGTATCCCCGCTAATTTTGCGGATGGAATACCGTATGCACATATCCCGTCTCCATCGTACATTAGCAAGGATTCTCCGACCAACTTCAAGGCTCAACACCACAGTCTTGACCAATCTCCATCATCCACAACCTTGCCAATCCGATTTCTTCCCCCATCGGGGTTCGCCATTGCCTCAGCCGAACAGACGGTGACGACACGATGCGTCGTTCCCTTGTTTTCAGTTTCGAAGACGTCGGCTCCCTGCTCAGTCTCGGAATCAGCACTCGCTTGAATCCTCCCCAAGGGACAGGGAGGATTCAAGTCATATGGTGTCGAAAAAGCATCTTGTCATCATCGATTTGGATATGTCTGTCTTAATCCGGATTAAGATGATTAACATGAGTTTCCCGTTGAGGTTCCTTCCATCCAGCTCATCCAAACGAACCAAACGACAGACAAACGAACCGATTCGAATCATTCTTCTCTGCAACGTATCTTTTTCGAAGAATTCGATTCGGAGCATGGAAGTCTAATGCTTGTCGTAGGTCGAGTCTTCACTTAAATATTCTTCACTATTCTGCGTGCATCTAAACTGACCAGAATGAAGGCGCCAAGCGATAACGCGGAACAAGTTTATTACTGAATCCAGATGATAATTATCGACAAAATTTACATCTCTCTGATCGCCTTCATTTTCAGTCCAATACGCCCATTCTTCACCAAGTGAGTGAACGAGATCGATTGAATGCCGCCCGTTCTTGCGGAACTGAGTCGTCAAATACTGGAAGTCCAGCATCACCGGAGAGAGGAGAACGCTAGAGAGCTCGTCATTTGGGCTCGGAGGAGTCTTCGCTGCAGACGCGCATAATTAAGTGTATCACAGCTGAACTTGGCAATATTTTCTTGAGCAAAAGATCCACCGCTCAGGCGGGGGGAACATTCTCTGATCCCTCCAGACTCTTAACCACGCAGAGCAACCGAGCTCATAGAGGGGGGAATGGATCCGAGGAAGGTACCCCAAAGCCGGGGAACGGATCTGAGGAGGTTCTACACGAGCCCGGATCAGCGAGGCTCCAGAACCGAGAGGGATGGTGCTGGACGACATCATGAACAATGACGTCGACAATGTATAACAACGATGTTAGAGGTTGGGAAATTCCGCCTTTGTTAATCCAAGACCGTAGAAGGTATGAGCCCCCGACCCGAAAAAGTACACGAGGGCCCTTTGGGATGTGCTTCTGAAGAGCAATAGAGCGGATAGAGGAAACTTCAACTTGATGACTGCCCTTCCCGATCCCCATCGGGGCCGCTATTGCTGGCTTTCTCGGGAGAACAGGAGCCCGAATGACTTACCTGCCATAATTTCGATCCCCGAATCGCCGGCCTGAGTCCTGAGATAATGTCTAGTCCCGGTCTCGTTGTCTAGCCTCGATCGTATTTATCGACAATTCAAAAAGGTAGTCTGGAGCCCTATACCCCGTTTCCAATCCTTACCAGCCGCATGAGAAGATGCCGACAAAATCCCCAGCGCCGCCACGATTCGGAGATCTCGGTCCTAATCTTGACTCGCTCTGAAATTTCGGATTGTGGTTTCTCAAACGGGAGAAAAACTCCCAGAGGACTAGTCGAGGTTCGAGAGATCTGTAGGATTCTTATTGGAGAAGAATAGGAACGTGACACGAACGTCGCACCAACCTCTTACAAGACCTCTCCTTCCTCGAGATCGCTGATGTCGTCTCCTACGCAGGGCGATCGGGGCCGACTGACCGCCGTTTCTTTGTCGGAGCTGCGAGGCGTTTTCCGGCCTGCGATGAGCTCTTCATCGCTGGCCAGCTCCATATCGACGACTGCGAGATCATCACCCGATACTTCCTCCGCTTCGGAATCTGTCAGGAGCTCACCTTCTTCATGATCTCGCAATGGTATGAAATCCAAAGACTCCGCTTGTCGCCGGGGAACGTGCTTATCCCAAGGCTCCGGGAGCATTGTAGGGTCGCTGGCTTTGGGCATACGCCTGTGCTTTTGGATCGTTTCTCTGATTCTGTCACCGATTTGAAATTCCCAATGCGCGTAAACTGGGCCGAAAAAGTCCAGCCGCTCAGGTTCGGGCAAGGGTGAAACAGATTGATCCCGATGACACAAATAATCGAGGAGCCACTCATCGTCGTCGTTCAACCCGAGCCGCCTCGATGCTGCTGTGCCACCGTGACTGTCGAGCTCCCTCGAGGGAGTATTCATCCCGATCATAGATTCGTCCGATGAGTCTGCCGGCGACGTGTACGACGAAACCGAGTCAGCTGAATCCAACGATGCTTGAAGCCGCCCCGTTTTCCTGAGAGCTTCCCCATACGTCCGATACGCGGGGTCAAAGTCTCCGTCACTGTCCGTTTCGAAAACTTGCTCTTTCCGGGCTCGCTTCGCACAAAGAGTTTCGTCGCTGCTCTCGTCAGTCTCCACGGAATAATGATTCGAGGGTGCTCCGGGTACAACTCCTCGCCGTCGTCTGCTCCCGCTTCGGCCTAAAGATTGGTCGACGACGACTGTATTCGGTGTGCGATAAAGTGGGATGAATTCCCCCACCAGCCTTATCGGTCGAACTTTCCTCAGCCAGCGAGCTCTCCGGAGCGTTTGCCGCAGCGGGTTATTAACTCTGAGTACGTTCCGGAGATCGATCGGAGCAGAGCTTAAACCGGTGCTGTGGTCTGGCCAGACGGGACGCGTCCGCCTCTCGAGAAAGCGTTTGATGTTTTCGGAAGTTCGGGTGGGCATTTCCATCTGCACGTCAGCTACCTCGTCGTCAGAGCCCGACAAAGTCACGAACTCTGGCCAAGCTCCGTCCCTCTCCAATGCGTTTTTCTGCCTCACAATAAGCTTTCTTCGTTTCTTCTTCTTCGAAGCAATCTCTTTCGTTTTCTTCTTGTGATGGAGAGGGCAAACTCTTGGATCTTTGCTGCATCCGACGCTTGTGCATACCAATACGTGTTGCTTAGGGCACTGGAAGAGAAGATCGTCTTCGAAGATGGAGTGACCGCAAGCGGCTCGAACCAGAGGGTGGAGGGGAATCGGGAGCGAGCGTAAACATATTATGTTTCTGAGTCACCAGGCTTACTATACAAACATTGAAGCATTCACTTGTCCGGATCGTCGACGCTCACCTGTTGACCGAGTTCGCAGAAGCCACGCAGGAAATTCTCGCAGTGGGGTATGTCTTTACGGAAGTACGAGTGACGATACGGGCAGTCCGAAGCTTTACACAGCCCTCGTTGAAAATACGAACAGAGCGGCATTTTGTCTTTCTCGACTTCGTGACTGAAGGGGCACTTCTCCGCCTTGCACGTCCCTCGCAAAAATTTCGTGCAGATGGATACCTATAAACCAAATTGTATCGCCGTATTTCGATGCCGTTGTTTTGAGGCTCTATCGAAATCTATCACATGGGAGTCGTACCTTTTTGAGATCGTGTTGAAATTTACAATTGTCGCCTTTATGGCACTTGCCGAAACGAATAAAGAAGATGCAATCTTTTCTCTGCTCCAAGTTTGAGACAGATTTCGAGGACTCGCTGCATAGCCTTCCCGTTTTTTTTCTTGTTTAGTTTGTAAACACTTCGGTTGACAAGTTGGCTGGTGGCAGGACAAGTCGGAGGTGAGGTGATGGAGAGCTTTCGAGGCGACGTGCGCGTATTTCATGTTCGAATGTTTCAGAAAACTCGGAAGCCGGTAGAAATTCGGAAGCCGGTTATTCTTGCGCTCGATACACACGGATAAAATGTACCAATGAGTAATCATAGTCTTGGACTATCCGTGGATTCATAATTGTCATTCAAAACACTACTAGATAGGGAACCGAAACCGAGACAACGTCGGTCAGATGATTGTTCTTTCTGGGGCGAATGGCTTCAAGCATAGAGCTGACACATACATACCTTGCGACTCTGTTGATGACGGTCCCGGTGTTGTGGAAACGACTCTTCATTGAGTTCTTGGCCGCGGCAAGTTTAACTGTCAGTGACGTATTGATCCGTTTCAAAGCTTTGCCATCTTTGGAACTCTGAAAAGGAACTCCACGGAGCATCAAGAGTGTCTGTGTATGCTGCTTCTTCTTCGCCTTGAGTGCTACGCTTTTCTTGGCGATCTTGTTGTGCGAACTCGCTGCTTTCTTTGTCACTGAAACTCCTTTGAGGAGCTTGAAACGTGTGCGCTTCAGGACCCTCTTGAAACACGACTCGGACGACGAGATTCCATATTCGATTCGCGACATTCGTTTCTGTTCCGACTTCCTGGTCGGGCCTATACCATCCATTGAGGCAATTTTCTTCACTCCCGATGAATTTGCGGACTCCGGCAACCCTGACAGAGCTCTGTCGTCCACTACGGCTGCTTCCGAATTCTTCAATCCGGTCGATGACGTCGATATATTCGAGGGCATGATCGGTTGACTGACTTCCGAGGCGTTTCCTGGTGCCCGACGCTCGAAGTATGAGCCCTGGCTGAGTTTCAGACTCGAATCAATCGGGTGCGTCCTTGGTTTCGCTCGACTCGGGAGCCACGACGAGGGATTGATTTTGACTAGTTTCGTAGCACTTTGGAACACTACGGATTTTCGTTGATGATGGCCGTGGGGTATCGGAATTTTCTTGATCGGATGAAGTATGTTATGGAGAGCTGTTCGGTGGTTCCGAATCATATCGTCGTCATCCGAACTATCATCGCCTCCAATCGTCAGGAGCAAAGTCTCATGGTTCCTGATCCATGAGTTGCGGTCTTCGTTCGGAGAGTCTCGTGAGGCGACGAGAGAAGCATCCTTCGTGAGCATCGGGGAAGACGATTCCTCGGCTCCCTTGAAGTTCCCCGGATCGATAGCCGGCGACACAGCTGACTCCGATCGACCTCCATTCTGTGGTTGATCATTGCTGATGTCACTCGCACTTTCGACTCGATTCGCTTTGCTTTTCCTCCGTACGAACACCCTATTGTGGCTAGGCAGAGCTCGTACGCCAAATCGATTCGAGTTCGAAAGATTTTGCTGATTTGGAACTCCAGAAAATGGCGTCTGCTCGGTGCGATACAACGAGAATTGATTCCGAGGAAAAGAGGCGCCTTTTTTCACTGGAGTCACCGAAGCTTGAACTGGCGTCGCTCCATCCTTCGCTTTCGGCTTGGATGCGACCAAGAGATCTGTAACCGGAAATCCCTCGGTGAACAATCTCTCACACGGCAGTTCGAATGACTTATCGTTGAATCATCATCCCCCAAGTGATGCGTATTGGACCGGATCCCACGATAAACCTCTCTGGGATTGTCCGCCGTTCGGGGCTACGGAGTCCAACGATGGAAGAACTCACCTTCCAACTCTCTAGCTCGTTTCAATAGCTCTTGGCGATTCAAGTTGGCGACCGAGTTCATCTCCTCGTCGTCGACGGCACTCGGGGTGAGCTCCGAGTGGGAGATGGATAGATCGATCGATTTGGCGCTAAATTCTTCTTCCTCCTGAATATTCACGACTTGGAGTGCAACAGGAGCTCCAGCATTTATGCATGGCTATGCTTCCCGGGAGACAACAATACGATAAACCAACAGTAAGATCAGGTGAACATGAAGAGAATCGAAGGACCTGTGCTAAAAACAGATGGCGTCGGCAAGGATGACGTCACTATCAACAACAAAATCAAAATGCACGCGGAGTGTACGAATTTTTGGACGGGAAAGACGAAGAACTGTTTGCTGGAGCGGCAAGTAATCGGGCAAACGCTCGGTTCCGTCAGGTTCCCACACTATTCCCGGCTCCCCTGATCGATTTCTTGTAGCCCGATCGATATTCCGTCGTCCGCGGAAGCTCGTGGACTTCAAACAAAGCAACTGGTGTCCGGATCACCGTCGAGCCGCTCTCGATGCTGCAAGAAGCGCGAAAGCTTGAATGTCCATGTCATAGGGCTGATGATCCTCCGATCCGCCAGGCTGGGAACTGCAAGTGAAATCCCCCGACTCTATCCGATTATCTAGCTGTTCTCTTCTTCTTCGGGGCTCATACAACAAACATTCCAAACGCTTCATCAGAGAATTGCTGTTATTCAAATTATTAATTATTGATCATTTCCTCATTGCTCGTGAATCGTGAATCGTGAACCTACGAGCCGGAGCATGTGGCGCAATCGGACTTCGGCGACGGCTGAGCAAGCCTTGCGCTTTGCAGAGCATCCGGACCTGACGTCTGACGTTGTCCGAGGAGTTCGCCGATGAGGAATATGCGGCTCTGGGCGACCAAGATCCGGGAGCTGCTACCGCGGAATATCGGTGGGGGACCGCATCAGAGTCTCCTCATCGAGAATTCCGTTGCTCTCTGTGCGCTCGAGCGGCTCTGGTGCCACGCTCTAGGAAAAAACTTCTCGCAGAGATCTCCCGACAAGCTTCACCAACGAAAGTCACGTCCTTCGAAAAGACGAGGACAGAATGAACACTTTCACCATAGAGTGACAACGATGCTACCCGCGAAAGTTTACTTCAGAGAAACATCCGTTTACATTATCCAGGAATTATGAGTGTTCCGTGCTGATTCAACTCTCCGCCTTCGCAGCATCGGATCCATTGGCGTCAACGTATTTCCACAGCCCGTAAGTTTTTCCAACGATCGTTTGCCAGAGTCTCACCGTGCCGTCTTCACTGCCCGAGGCGTAAAGCTCCCCATCGGACGAGAAGGCACAACAATGGACAGGACCGAAATGCCCCTTGAAGGATTCGATTTCTTCACCAGTTTCATAGTTCATTTTATACATTTTGAAATCGTCCCCGCCGCAAACGAAAAACTCCCCAGCTGAGTGCAATGAGGCGGCGTACATTTTACACGGCAATTCGAATTCTCTCATCATCTGGTAATTAACAGTTGACCAGAATGTCACTTTCCTATCCATGGTGATCACGAATTGCTCGCCGTTGGCGGATATCTCTAATGATTGTGGAATTCCCGGCAGTTGTTGCGTGTGAATGCACTCCCCAGATATGAAATCCCACACTCGAATCGACCGGTCATCTCCGACAGACAACAATCGCTTGCCATCGCCAAGAAGTCTCACATATTTAACAGCTCCGTGATGACCATCGAATGTGAACGCTTCCTTGTCGTCTCCCGCCGACAAGTCGAAGCGTCGGATTATCTGGAAACAAGACTGAGATCAGCACCGTTCTCATTGGGTGAGCTCCATCGGGAATACAACTAGATTCGGGTTTTTCGAATTTTCCGGGTCCTACTTTGTCAGCACTGCCCGTCGTCAATTGAGAACCATCCGGGGACAGTTCGACCGCGCGAACAATGTGCTTGTGCGGCAGGGAAAGTTTCTCGTTCCCGGTTGAGAGATCCCAAATCTTTGCTGAGAAGTCCGCAGATCCTGTGGCGGCTAGAGTCGCGCTTGGGTCCATGTGGACGCTCCACACGGCGCCTTTGTGACCTTCGAAAGTGCCTGCCGGAGTCATAAGCTCTGATTTAGAAATATCCAATCGCTGAGGTCGACGATTCCCTGGACCCATCGAAAGCGCACGAGCACCTCCGTTTCGGAGAATCTGATCACCAAATCAGAGCCGGAACCGCCGATATTCAAAGATGACACGGCTCAGAGGAGTCCAGAGAAATCGCCCGGTTAAGCGACTTCATTGAAACCAGATTCGATTAGTCCGACAACGAGAGCGCCACGAACGACACATCCAATGACTCCAGATATGAGGTGGTGCTTGTATGAGCGGGTTCACCGAGGGGGAGCAGCGGTAGGGTTTCAAAGAACTTACCAATCCAATCGCCTGTGACTCCGTCCCGAAGCATGGGCTTGCCATCTTTGCAGGCTGAGATGAGCAGGCATTTACCGCTCTGACTTCGAGCGAAACAAAGGTCGACGACAGGCCTCGTATGGCCGGAACAAGTGAGAACAACTTGACGTAAATTCGCCGAAGCCATGTTCTACGTGATTGACGGTCGGACCGAATTTATCTGTCCTGCAGCGAGCGAGTTCGTCGCCGCCGCACCGGTGTGTTATTCTCTGCTTTGTGGTCATTGGTCGTCTGCTCGAGTCCCTGCGATCGCGCGGCAACTTCCCGACAGACGGTTCGATAAATTTTCACGCGCACTGTCGCTCTCGCATCGCCTCCAATCTCGAGTGCTTGTGGATGCAGCCCGGAATCCGAAGCTACTAGATTCACTAGATAATAATTATAGGAGACGTTCCTCATCCAACGGGAGAAAAAGAGAGAACCTTCCATCGTCGTTCCCTGTGATACGGTAGTTCTGGTAGTCCTCACTGATCCCGCATTCCGCAACTGTCCTTTACCTACGCGGTACCATTTGGAGGGATGACACAGTCGTCACGACAATGGCACGACAATCGATTTGCGGCCTTCATACAGGGAAATCTATGTATCTATTCGTGACAAGTTCACATTCGTACATGTACGATATGTCAGTCTTCAGCCATGGAGTCTCAACAACAGCAGCCTATTGACCGAACAAATGTCAATATTAATGGATGCATTCCTCTTCGTCTCCCATGAGGCGACGCTTGGGGACGGTCGCGGGCGATCTCCCCCTGGACAGCGCTTGAACTGGGATCCGTGACGAAGAGCGGACGACTCACGACTCGTCGTTGGGTTCGCGACGGGCGTCTCGCGATCCAGAATCTCGGTCCCAGGATGGGAGATCGCGGATAGTCTTCCTCTTGATCTCTCAGCAAGACACCGCGATCCGCAATCTTGAGAGACAGGGGCGATCTTCTCCATGGGAAAAACATTGCGATCGGGAATCCTGAGGCTGGAATGCTGAGACGAGAGGCAGGAGATTCGTGACTTCTTTTGATCACTCCTTGTCATGCTTTTCCGTACCGAATGTCTTGGATCAGGCATCGTTCGATCCACCTAGATAACACCCACCCGGAAAACGACATCCTCAGTTAGTTGTTGCGCAGAGCATGACCTGCACCACGAGTCTCACTACGGGAGTTACTCAGGAGAGCGCGACGATGAGCAGCGAGCGGATCTCTCCCGGATCGTTCACCTGCTTGGCGGAGGGAGAGAGCCTCAGGTCATTGTAATTCCTGACTCCGCCGGCGACGCATTCTTCCTGCAGCAGGCCGCGGAGATGGTGCAAAGTGGGCCTTACGAGCGATTTATCGAAGGCTGAGTCCTTATGTGACTGTTGAAGAGTACGACCGTACGCTGTGAGCCGTACTTTATCTGCTTTGTGATAATCGTCGTTCTCGAGAGGGAAGGAAGAAGGCAAGGTTGGAATGAGATGGAGGGTCGAGCTGATGGAACCATGCCTTGTGAGGCAGGTCGAAACGATGTTCCCATGCTATGTGCGGCAGGTTGAGATCAGAATGATGGACTATTGCCATTCGAGGCATGTTGGCATGGAGCAGCTGTGAGCTCGCATCACGAGTTGATGAGGCACGGCTCGATTATTCGGCAGCCTTTCCACGGTGCCGTTCGATTGGAGTTTTTGAGAAATGAGAAGTAAGTCTGGATGACTGGATAATGAGCTCTCCGAAGAGCCGTCGAGCCTTCGAGAAACCATGTCCGGAGAAGGAGGAGGGTGATCATATCGAGACGGATCTTCCGACTGAAGAGGGATAACAAGGGGCGAATCACGGAATACGAAGCAAAATCGGCCGGTTGAGGATGCGACCAGACGAGGGCAGTGGATTTCGATGGGTCATATTCGGGGTAGAGATGGTGCGGAACATGACGGGGAGAAACTCTAAGGCAAGAGCCGGCTTCATTCCGGGTAGAAGACAAAGTCTGTTCGTGCTGGAGGAGTCACTCAGCGGTCAGAAGTCCGAAGCGAGCTGGTAGAGTCTGGTGGTTTGAAACCCTTAATGAGTCCTTGAGAGATCTAGGCCTCAGCGAGTTCGGAGCGGAACGGGAGGGCAAGAGGTGCGCATAGTCACCACATGTATATTGTGACGGAGCTCCAGAGGAAGTGGACGGAACCCTGGGAAAGTAACAGCGCCGAGATCGAAAAAGGCGACGGACACATAGGCAGACCTAGGCAAACCATTAGCAGATGCACATGCGGAATCCATAACTTGTAAACTTGTATCTCAAGCGAGATGAGCTTGGCGACCTCGATTCCGACAATTGTTGCTCGGAGTTGGGGTCAGCGGCGAACCCCGGGTCGCTAGACTTCTGCCGCATGTGGATGAGTCTCGTAGAGACTGAACTCCGCGGATCGCGGACCTTCAGTGCCTATCTCTTGTTCGAGTTCGAGGCTTGATAAGACTAGCGGATGAGGAAAAAGAAAAAGACAAAAACCAGAAACACTGAAAAACCCAACCACGGGCCACGGGCAGCCACTCTATGAACCCATGCGTCTATCGCCGTTCTTCTCTATGTGGAGTCCACATAGAGTTCCTTCATGGCAGAGAAGACCA